GTCGAAGCTGATCATCCTCAATCCTCCAACTCCCACCAGGTCCTTCATCTCCGGAAAGTTCCAGAAGGATGGAAGACCGTAGACGTCGTTCTGCAGCTTTGATGAGCAACCCCAGCTGCTTGAAGAGCAATGCCGTGTCTGAGTTGACACGATGCATATCCCACGTCGAGAGTCCCTCCAAGAAGAATCGCTGGCTATCCCTTCTGCAGAGGAGGTGGCCCTCGCTGACGCTGCCGGAGTCTGGAAGTGGTTCTGCACGGAGGGCCTCCGATCACCCCCACTACCTTCCCAGCACACGTCAACTCCCACAGGAAGGCCCAAATCGTAGGGTCATGCAAGTCTATGCCGTTGAGAATGTCGATGGCGAGGACCGTGTACCCCGCCTGTTCCAGCTCGCACCATGATTTGTAGTCCTTGCCAGAGAAGAGATGCAAGATGATTCCTCGTGATCGCCAAAGCTTCCGCCGTCGATGGCGATTCCAGGGCAAACTGGTAGAAGAAGAAACATCCTTCCAACACTCCCCTTGGCCCCTCATATACTTCCAGACAGAGTGGGGTACCTGGGGCCATCGCTCGGCCCACCACCTCAGTTCTTCCTCCTTCACCTCCACATCGACCTTCTGCATTTTCTTGAGGTCACACAGTCGCGCTTGATGTGGCTGCTACTTCCACAGTTGAAGCAACGACCTCTCATCTCCACTTGGTCGTGCAGGAAGGTGCATGCTGAGCCTCTTTTGCACCCTTCCGTGATCTTCCAAAAGCGACAAGCCCCCTTTGTAGTCGTTGATGTTGAGCTCCCAGTGGCAACTGCTGCCAAAGGTTCTGCCCTTCACAGTTAGGAGTGGCCTTCAGACCCAAACCCAAGCAAAGTTCTTCCGCCTCAGACTGGAAATGCTCCGCATACTGCTCCACGGCCAAAATTGTAGGGCAAACATCCACCGCCAACTCCTGTCTCACCGCTGCAATGCGGCAGGAGAGTTGCATGCCCCCAAGTTTTCCCAGAGGGTCCCCATACTTCCCAAGGATGCCAGTCAGGATCACTGGGTCGGGCAAAGTCAATTTAGTCAATTGAAGCTCTACAGCTCGGGTCGGAACATTCATTGCGTGTTCCACCATGGCTCCATGCCTCACACCAGCATTCCAGAACGGATTGACCCCGCAGGTGGCAGCGCCACGAGGCCATTTCCCGTCCATGGTTCCTGGGCCAACGACCCAGCGTGGTCCAATCCCATGCCATCACGGTTTAGCGGGACCAGAGCACGTTCTTCACCCTAGGGTTGGCATCTCTGGTTCAGCCCTGACCCTCTCATCAGAGCCCCTGGCACCACTAGCCGCACCAGCTGCTGGCTCAGCGTCCAGCGCCATGGGCAAAGAAGCGAAGTTACCCAAGGACTAGCCTTGGGCTCATAACCTGCGAATCCCACAGGCACCCCAAGCAGCGAAATGGGTAAGGGCACCTGCTTTTCTTGAGCCATGATTGAATGCACCGGTATAAATTGGTGCGTGTCATCCTTGTGCAAGGGGCAAGTGCCCGACATGCAAAAACTAGTTACACTTCTTGATTTTGAAGAGGTGGCAGGGTACATCCAACTACGGTCTCCCACGCTACCACAGATACATTTTCTAACTTTTAGTTATATATAGCTACCAGTTTTTTCATAGTTTTTTAATGGCGACTTTATCATGTTGTGTAATCCTCTCCCCTAAAAATAAACCCGCCCCCTTTTTCATAAACACCTGGAGTAGTTTTGTTTTCTGGGGAGGATTTCACAGTTCTGACCTACTAAGAAGGCAAGTAAATATAAAATCGAAACGCTACTTTACACAATTAAATGTGTGATTTCAAAATTGATCAAATTCCTGATTGATTAAAACCCATGTATAAAATATTGCCAAACAGTGGATTTCGAAGCTTTCCCCTAATAATACAATCAGCACCTTAATTCAAAAAACACCTACTGACCTACTGTAATTCTTTCCATGTCAAGAGGCAGACCCACACAGGGAATCACATTATTGGGTATTCTGGCCTCCTATTGCTCTTGCATTGCCACCATTGAACACCGCAATTAAATAACCCCAAAAACACAAAAGTTGGGGATGAAGATGTAGTTTAAATTATTTGGAGTACGTTCAGGTGTTGGTAAAAGGGGGAAGAGATGAATGTCATATAGGTCAGTCTCTGGGTCATCCCCTAATCATGTGGGAAGATGCTCCCAATTGCTTGTTCTTTGGGGCTAAATGGCGTGCATGAATGCAGGCCATTTTTAGCTTGGCGGGGCTGCTGAAAAGTTCCGACCAAATGCTAATCCTCTGGGACCCAACATGGACACAGCGACTCTTTGACTTGCTTGAGGTGAGTTGTTGAATTTCTGCGGAAATTCCACCATTTGGGGAATCTACCTTGGCCCTCACTTGATACATAAAAAGGAGCCGAAGTACCGAATGTGATGGGTAAGAAACGGTAAGAACACATACTTTTCTTACTGTATAGTTTTTACTTATTTAGTATTACAGAAACCTGAAACAAGACAATTTTGGCTCATTTTAGATCGGGTGAGGTCGGATAGGTTTCGCATAGGAAGCACCTTCAGCAAAACCAAGGATTGTGGTGTTTGTTCGAACTGGCCGCCTTTTTGCAAAGCCGTAAGACACGGAAACAAGCCTTGATTGTCAGGCCCCATGGTGTTTGATGCTGGGAGTTTGAAATCTGTTACCCTGTGGTAAACACTCATTGAGAATGCGGAGGTTCCTTTGCCAGATTAGACTAGATTGCCAAAAGGCAAGTATATAAGTGTTTTAAATGTGCCATTTATAAAGGTTCCATTTATCCATCCTGTGTTTCTGATGATTCCAAATCATATAGCAATTCCAGCTTTTAAGGGGTTGGCTGGACCACCTGAACATAGGCCAGTCTTTCTTGGGCCAATTTCCATCGGCGTCTTCTCGACAATCGTTCTTGCAATGCCTGCCACTACGGTACCGATTGAAAGCCTAAAACTCTCGTTCGTTCCGATGGGTGCTGTTTTGTTACTGGGCATGGTGGCTATCTACCCTGCTGTGAGTATCGTGCGAAACTATTTTAGAGACTTGGACGTGATGAAGCAGCAGTTGTTGTCGATCTCATTTGACACAACAAGGAGTGCCTGCTGTGACCAAGACCATGTGGACCCCATGGGTCAAACCTTGCTGTGCGACCGGAGAATTGTGAAAGAATGTGTGGACATTTGGTTTGGTAGCCAGCAAGCTTTTGAGGACACTGTGCGCTCAGAGGTTTTGAACATTTTGGAGCATGAACTCTCCGAAAGAGTTTTCAGTACGGCATGGGCTCTTGGAGTCACTTCTCCAGTCATGCTGCTTGTTGGTGGTTAACTTAAATGTTTACGTGAAGCAAATCCCATTTGCGCATAACAATGACTAACAGACTTGGAGGTGGAGGATGCAAGACCATGTTTGGCTAGGGGGAGAATTTCTAGGCTAGGCATTCATGTCCGCGAGTGCCTTGCCTTCTTCCACGGAGTTCCAGGGCATCACAACAGTGGACGACGTCCTGCAGGTGCTCCAAGCAGACTTTGCGGAGTTCAAGAAGAAGAGGATCTTCACCTTCGTCCATTTCTTCTTGGGCAAGGAGGACGTGCTATCTTCACCTTCGTCCATTTCTTCTTGGGCAAGGAGGACGTGCTGGGGGCAGCCATCAGTAGGTTGGCATCTATAAATGGCATGGCAGTCAAGTGCTACTCGCTTGACTTGGAGAGCGACCTCCTGCAGGAGCAGCCATACGGAGACATCCTGTACAGCTGCAGGAACGGAGAAGTGGACGCCGGGCATGCATGGCTCCTTTTCAATGGTTCGATATCGCCCTGGAGGAACACCACCGGTGAGGAACTTGGAATGGATCTATGGGTTGCCATCCAACTCCCCTCAACAACAAGTCAACAAGCTGTGCTGAAGCAGATAGGGGATCCTTGTTGGCCATCAGACAAAAGCGGCCACATTGGAGAACCCGCCGGGTAGTGAGTCACAGACGGAAGGGTCGATGTGGGCACTCCCGGAGACCGCCGACTTCATGGAGAAGTTCGAATGCTGTAAGGCGTGGTTCAACACATGCCTTGAGGGACTTTCAGTAGCAGGCGCTGCTGGGAAAGAGAAGGACCTCTGATGTTGCGAGGTACCCCAACGACCTGGCCATGGAATACGCCAGGCTGGTCATCCAGGTGTTCAGGACCACACTCAACTTGGAATGATGGAGGCACCTGGAAAAGGCGCGCAGGATGCAACTCACGGACTTGCAGAAGAGCTGGATCAAGTCCAAGGAGAAGCACACGGGCCCCGTCGTCGCCGATGATGTCATGAGGCGCATCAGAAACAACAAAAGGTCCTTTGGGAGGAGGACATCATGAAGGACCATCTCCCCCAACAGAACGTCGAAAACAAGAAGGCGAGGAAGGAGTTTCAAAACCAGTACTTTGCTGGGCAGGCATTTCAGTAAAGAGACTGGCCATCTTGAGGGAGGCAGGGCAAGATATCCTGCGTTTGTGGAACACATTCATCAGGGATCACCCTGCTGCACTGGAAGCAGCAAGAAACTACGGCACCGACAGATGCAGGCTGGACGAAGTGGTGGCCAAGGATTGGATCTTGCAATTGGGCAGGCTCCTCAAGTTGTCAAGCTGAAGGGCAAGTTTGGGTTCGTGTCCCCCTTGAATGCCCCCATGTGGAGGGCGTGCAAGAGGTTTGCCAATGACCCTGCAGGAACACCTCCATGTCTGGGCGATCACAGGAGCACCTCTGGGCATGAACTCGGAGATCCCCGGTTCAGGAGGGATTTTTCACCCAGTAGAAGAAGAAAGCGAGCAAGCACAGCTGGCCCCAGAACTGGAGGTGCAACTGGGCATGGACAACTATAAGACTATAAGCTTATGCACGATGACTACGAGGGGCCAGGAGTTGGATCGCTTAGTGGCGAGGGGCTTTGCCGTCTACCTGACAAAGGCGGAGGCCCGGGAGCACTTCCACAGGGCGACCTTGAGTCGCTTGGCCCTCATCCACAGGGGCGAAGAAGCTGAGGGTCATTATTGACCTCCTCCGCTCGGAAGGCAATATGGGTGCCGGAGAGAATCATCTTGCCGCGAATTTCAGACGTGGTCGCCTCCCTGAGGGAGCTGTTCAGGAAAAGGGAGGCAAACAGCAGGCAAACAGCAACACAGGAGACTGGGAGATGGAGCTCATCAGCGCGGACCTCTCGGACACGTGCATGCACTTTGGGGTTCATCCAGATGAAATTCAAAATTGCCTGGCACCGGGACTAGATGATGACGAACTAGTCCCGTTCAAGGCGATGAGCTTCGGCTTCAAAGGAGCGCCGCTGGTGATGGGTAGATTCTCATCAGCGGCAATGAGACTCTGCCAGTCCATGATGCCGGAAGCACAAGGGCAGATCTAGTGCGACATGGACGACCCGCTACTCATGTTACAGGGGCCACTACATGAGAGGTTGGCCCTGTTGGCCATGGTGCTGTACACGGCCAATGCCTGTGGACTGCAGCTGTCATATGCAAAGGCAGAGCAGGGCATCCGGCTATCATCTTGGATTGGGGTTAGCATCGAGGTCGACGAGCCCAACAAGGTGATCAACTTGAGCCCGCCAGAGAAGCTGGTGGAAGAAGTCACGATAAGGTTGCAGACCTAGTAGGAAGGGATGATGAGCTTGAGATCCCTGAAGTCCACAACGGGGAAGCTGAGCTGGATCGCGGGAATCATCCCCCGCTGTCGTTGGGGCTGATGAAGCTCGAGAGCAGCCAGCAGAGAGGACACCCGCGACAAGTCGGGGATGGTGCACACCAAGAGGGTCCTCTTGGCGAAGGAATGGCTGCTCAAGCTGGAGACCCGCGAGATATGGAGAGCTCGAAGGGTGCCGTTGATCGAGGAGGCCCCAAAGTTTGCCTTGACCCCGGACGCCTCACCTTTGGGCGTGGGAGCGGTGCTGTCGGCGGTCGACTACCAGACGGAACAGTTGACAGCCTTGGCTGCCATCAAGGGCAAGGTGAAGAAGAACGTCGCAGCATCGCTGGGCATCCCCTACAACGACCCGGCCAGCCAAGCAGTCTTGGAGGCATGGACAGTCCTCCTGGCGGTGAAGTACGGGGCCTTCGCTCAAGGCAGACTCGACGGTAGCCTTGGCAGTTTCAAAGAAACTGTCATCGCCCACACCAACACACTGAACTGGGTGGGGGCGGAGCTCAGCCTGACATTGGCTCACCGTGCACCACTTGGCGGGCGCACTGCCTGGTTTAGATGGGATCCAGGTCCGGGTCATGAATGAGGCCTGGATGCTGGATTCACGGCTGCCCCCACCTGCGATGCATCGGAGTTGTGGGGCAAGGTCCCGAACCTCCTGCCGCTCTTCGACGGCTTGTGAGGACCTGTGTGCTCTGTGAAAATCGGCCAAGGCCGATGGGGAGCATGGGGACTGCAAAGGGTTTTAAAGTGTCGGGGGAATTTATTTACGTGTTTTTCCCCACCCCCTTTGCATAGTCACGACCACTCCGCAGCCTCTTTTTGGCCCCAGCCGACCCTGGAGCCCGTTCCAACTCTGTGGCCTATGTTGTCTGCTTTGCTGTGGCCACTTGGCGCAGCGGGCAGATGGCAATGGCGTGGTGCTCCACCAGATGGCAGGTAGTGGCGCCCAAGTTGACGGCCATGGAACTGAGAATGCCAGCCCTGGTGAAAAATCAAGGTTCCCAGACGGGCTTGGGGACTTGCGACAATTCCTCTCCAAAAGCAGGGCTCTTGGGCACACCAACAAGAGCTGGACTGCTGGGTACACCAAAGAGGGAGATGTTAAGGAGGGCACAACCGGTGATTCGGGAGATAGAAGCAAGAAAGTATGTCGGTGCTGAACGCCTCGACCTCGACCCAAGGGGAAACGTGCTGAATCTACCCTCGGGCATGGGCCTCCTACAACCAGGGTACATCAACGGCAAGTGCATGGGAGCCGACCCTTTGATGGCCTTGGTGGGTCCTGCAGCACGTGGTGGACAAGATGATGACCCGACGGGTGGGACTCGAAACCTCCTGAATGAGACCAAGAAGGGGGGCTCGGTGCAGAGGCCATCCGGATTTCAAAAATGGGCTCCTTCCAGAAGAAAGTGGCCATCTTCAGGAAGTTCTTTGCGTCGACGCCGTTGGGCCGCACGCTTTCCTCCATGCCATGTCCTACTGCGCAGCTCCCGCTCACTTCACCTTGCCTATTTTCGCCCTCGCTGCCTCAGCGTTGTGCTGCTTGGAGCCAATGGCTACGGTCCTTGGCATGCTGCCTCATGGTCGGAAAGCTCGTGTACAGCCAGTGCGATTGCACTTGTGGGCACTTTTTCCCTTGTGCTCACGGCAACTGAATTCACTTTGTGGCTGCCTGCTGCTGCTGGTGCGGCTCTTTTGTTGGGTGCCGTTATTGGCACGTCATGGAATCCCTGGTGGCGCTGATCCTGGCACGCTTTGGGGGCGCTAGCCTTGCGGGGTGCGGGCATGGCACATCTCTGCGGCGCTTTTGGCACATTCTTGGTTGCATTCCTGGTGGCGCTGATTTCGACTACCCTGCATGGTTCTCTTGGCACATCTTAGTGCTGCTGCCGCGGCGCACCCTGCTGGCGCTGATTGGCCCATGGAGTAGGGAGAGACGCTTTTATTTTTGGTACTTGGGGGTCTTTTCCCTGGAACCCCCTTGGTTTGTGCAGATGCATCACTTTACTTTCATGTTGCTGCTCATGCAGTCACTGCGCAGCGCTTCGCTGCATGCTTATTTGCCTGCAGCTACCATCTTACCCCTTCATATCGGGTTTCGTCGTGAAGCTTGTCTTCTGCGAGCGGCTGACCTATTGCCTCTACCTACCTACGGGCCTAGGGTGTGGCATCTTCACTTCAATCGACGTCGGCTAGATCAAGAGCCTCTAAGCGGTCGGAGATAATCAAACTGGCCAAAGCGATAAAGGGCTCAAACAACATCCTGCCGTTGAGCAAAGAGCTGGTCGAGTCCATCTCGGCCGCCTTGAAGGAGTCGGGCATGAAATTTGGCTCACAGTAAGTGGAGCTCAAGTTGATGCACGTGGAGGCCGGGTATGAGATAGAGGCTTGGCTCAAGAGGACGCTGGACCTCTGCAAGAAGGCCTTGGAGCGCTCAAGAGGCCCAACCATACGGGCAGCAGAAGTGAAGATATAGCGCAATGGGCCGGAGACCCCGACCTTGGCTTTCGCTTCGGCATCGGTGTGCATGCTCAGAGAAATTGATTTGCGCAAGGTGAAGATTCGCGACGTCACCTTCCCAGGTCCTGACAGATGGGTCACCATTTGGCTTCCGACGTCGAAGACAGATCAACAGGGAAGGGGCATCAGGCACACCCTTCGGTGTTGTGACGCCGTGCTCAGCGCTGTGCCCGAGGGCAATCGAGATTGCCAAGAGCAAGACAGCGCTGCCGGGATCCCCACTTTTCTCGTCGTGGGGCAACCTGAAGCAGGAGGTCTCCAAGACGGGCACGATCAAGGCCTGGAAGGCTCACTTGGGCCCTGAAGTCTCGGGCCATAGCGCGAGGAGGTCGGGAGGCATGTACTATATGTGAGAGCGGGCCTCCCCATCCAGGAGCTAGCCTTCCTAGGAAGGCGGAAATCGAATGTGGTGCTGACCTACGCAGAAGAAGCCTTGCAAGAATGGGCTGTCTTTGTGCCAGATCTACATGGCAGCACCACACCACCTGTGGCCGAAATCATGAAGGCTCCATCTCAGCCCCCTATAGGGCCTCCAAGAACCGACAATCGCTCCATCTACACTGGCGTTGACAGCGACTTAGAGCCAATGCTGGAGCTGGCAGTCCTTGCAATCACCTAGAGACCTATGGGTGGTGACAAAAGGAAGAGGTTGGAGGGGACGCCCCAGGCATTTAGTCACCAAGGCATCCTGGAACCTTATATGTCAGCTTGGACAAGGTCGTGCGGATGGAACTTTGCACAGAAGTCCACGGACTTTTACTTCGTGTCAGGCTGGGACAAGTTGAAGTGTTCAAAGTGTGATGCCCTGAGAGTGTGCGCGACAAGTCAAATGGGCCATGAGATGCGCACAGGCTTCGAAGAGAAGCCATTGATGGCTGGGGCATCAACAGGGGTCCCAGCCAATGCAAGGAAGGGCAGACAAGCAGACCGCACCAATTCGACAAAATGAACTTGGAGGGAGGGTGGGTCTGTGAAGTCTGTGCTTGAATTGTCGTGAAGCAAATCCCATTTGCGCATGACATTGAATAACAGACTTGGAGGTGGAGGAAACCATCCATAATCATATAATGATGCCATTTTGGCTGCAAGGCCATGTTTGGCTAGGGGGAGAATTTCTCCCACCAACCCACACCTGCTGGGTTAATACAGGCCATTAGGGCCATGAGATGCGCACAGGCTTCGAAGAGAAGCCATTGATGGCTGGGACATCAACAGGGGTCCCAGCCAAAGGAAGCGCAGACAAGCAGACCGCACCAATTCGACAAAATGAACTTGGAGGGAGGGTGGGTCTGTGAAGTCTGTGCTTGAACGGTCAATATTTTTCAATGTATATTGCGTAACTGGCATAACTTGTCATTTTCCAACTGAACTGGGATATTTGATCTGTTTCACCGCTGTTTAGCCCGCTTCTGGGATCATGGAGGATTTTTTCGTTTACAACGGCAGGGCATATTAACCAACTAACTAACTTTAAGCAATTTCCAGCTGTCAGAAACTGTCAGAGTCATCCAGGTTGATTTTTTTTCTTTGGGGTGCCCCTTTTGTGCGAAATTTGATCATCCAGGTTGCTTTTCATGGACCTTACTGCCAGCTTTGTGCCCATGTCATTCCAAGAACAAGAACTTGAGTTCTGGCAGCGGCACCGCCATGCTACATCCATTTTCATTCAAGGCCTGGTGCTTTGGCTTTTTGCCATGCCAGCTCAGAAAGATCTCCTGGTATGTTTTTGCAGGCTCCTTCGGAGAAAACCCAGGAACTTTTGGCTTGAGGCTCTCAAGAATACATTGACATTACTGCTCATACTGGGGCCTATCTTAATGATGCTTGCACTGTTTGGGTTTGTCCATACAGGATATTTTGGGAATGTGCACATCAGGACTGCAGTTTTTGCAGGCGGTATCCTGAGCCTTTCAATTTGTAATTGTTTGCTGGCAGCGATGTTGAAGGCCCTATTGAAGAGGCCCGGATGGTGAATCAACTCTGCAAGAGGACTACCCAATTAAGCCTTTGCACTGCGCTAGGTTTTGCTGTGCAAAGCATTGTGTAGATGGAGACGCGAAGAGAGGAACTCCGGATCTTGATTTGGATCCAAGTCGAACAGTTTGTTGACAAACGTTTGAGGCATGAGATCCAACTCGCCTACAAATTTCCACGTCAGTCTTTCAGATATATTTGGACTTCAATTTGCTGCTCCAGATTTTTTGGCTTTTATAATTCATTTTAACACATTTTAAACCTGCTACATTTGTGTATTTTGAGTCTCACAAACTGCGCACAATCTCTACCCTCGAACAGCCTAAGACTGACCGCAAAAGTGAGTGACCGAGAGACAGAGAGAGAGAGAGATTCCACTAGATCCACTTGAGCAGTAGCAGTAGCCATTCGACCCTCATCAAATTCGTCAGTTGCTGTTTGCTTAGATATTGGGGACTGTCCTCATGTTGAGAATCTAAAGCAACCTCAAAGCTTCATAAGTGAATTCAATCTGATGGTTGATATCGGAAGCCCGTCAATTTGGTAGCCTTAAATCAGCCTTGCGGTTTATGCGGAACAAAAATCGGCTCTCATATTCTCATGATAGACCACCCATGATCTCCCAATTAATGAATTGGTTGAAGGAAAAGTCCTGGAATTTTGCAAGAAAACCAAATCCATGTCGGCAACCAAGTGAAAATGGATGAAAATAGGTGCAGCACCTTCAAAAGGAACCTCAAGGTATTGGCCACGACACAAAGGGGGTATTTGGGGTGAAGTTTCCAACATTTGTATTTGTTTATCACTGCATGTAACGCATGTTCACCAAGGTCCCAGGAAATGTTCAAAGGGTTGAATGTTGAGATGCGTGCCCAAAGATGCTGTGGTCAGATTGGAATGGGTCAAGAAGGCCAGCCCAAATCCCAAGATTGATGGGTAAACTGATGTAAACTGAGTTGGGTAAGGGTTGAAGCTGTGTCGACAGAAACGGAGGAATCTCAGCTGCCAAGCAGCTGCCAGCCACAGATCAGGTGCTGTGCACAGCGCCAGCGGAAGCGCTATCAGCCGCGGTGCCAAAGGGCAGCTCAGCCTGAGGACACACCAAGTTGCAAGCGGGATCAGCGGGCCCCTGAGGATTCGGACATATCATGCTCTTCCAATAGCAACCTACCAGATATAGAAAGAGTTGAAAAGGATTGAACAGGTATATATATATATATATGTATATATATATATAGAATGGGCTAGCGCCCGGGTGCCGCCGACCCCCCTTCTGGGGGGTTGGGCTGAAGGTGGTTGGTCTATATCTAACCCAGCCACGTCCCAGATTTTGTACAGTTGTAAGGGTGCGTGCCAATAAGAAGCCATTGATGTGTGGCCTTGGGGTGCCTGCTGGCTGCAGGATGAAGCATGCCAAGGGAATGTTTAAGCGATGTGGCCTTGGGGCAGCGCTATTGCCTGCGCGGTTCGGCGTGCCGAGAAGCTTTTGCAGAGTTTGCAGGGTTTTAAGGGTTTTAAGGGTAAGCGTTTAAGGGCTGGCAAACGGCAGGCTTGGACGCCCATTAAGGGTTTTCAGGGTTTTGAGGGTTTTTAAGGGTTTTGAGGGTTTTTAAGGGTTTTTAAGGGTTTTGAGGGTTTTTAAGGGTTTTAAGGTTTTAAGGGCTGGCAAACGGCAGGCTTGGACGCCCATAAGAAGCCATTGATGTGTGGCCTTGGGGTGCCTGTTGGCTGCAGGATGAAGCATGCCAAGGGTTTAAGGGCTGGCAAACGGCAGGCTTGGACGCCCATAAGAAGCCATTGATGTGTGGCCTTGGGGTGCCTGTTGGCTGCAGGATGAAGCATGCCAAGGGAATGCTTAAGCGATGTGGCCTTGGGGCAGCGCTATTGCCTGCGCGGTTCGGCGTTCCGAGAAGCTTTTGCAGAGTTTGCAGGGTTTTAAGGGTTTTAAGGGTAAGCGTTTAAGGGGTGGCAAACGGCAGGCTTGGACGCCCATTAAGGGTTTTCAGGGTTTTGAGGGTTTTTAAGGGTTTTAAGGGTTTTAAGGGTTTTAAGGGTTTTAAGGGTTTAAGGGCTGGCAAACGGCAGGCTTGGACGCCCATAAGAAGCCATTGATGTGTGGCCTTGGGGTGCCTGTTGGCTGCAGGATGAAGCATGCCAAGGGAATGTTTAAGCGATGTGGCCTTGGGGCAGCGCTATTGCCTGCGCGGTTCGGCGTTCCGAGAAGCTTTTGCACAGTTTGCAGGGTTTTAAGGGTTTTAAGGTAAGCGTTTAAGGGCTGGCAAACGGCAGGCTTGGACGCCCATTAAGGGTTTTAAGGGTTTTAAGGGTTTTGAGGGTTTTTAAGGGTTTTAAGCGTTTTAAGGGTTTAAGGGCTGGCAAACGGCAGGCTTGGACGCCCATAAGAAGCCATTGATGTGTGGCCTTGGGGTGCCTGTTGGCTGCAGGATGAAGCATGCCAAGGGAATGTTTAAGCGATGTGGCCTTGGGGCAGCGCTATTGCCTGCGCAACAAGTGCAACACCACACGCAGGTAGACCACCCCCGACAAGCTCCGCAACCATTGCCCAAATTTGGGCGCCCATATGGGTACAGGACATGCCTGCTAAGTGCTGTCCAGCACCTTGCACATTTAAAGCCCGTGCAGACGGCCTTGCACAGTTAAAGCCGGCGCAGGTGGCCTCGTGCGTTTGGTGCCCGCACGGAAGGCAAAGGACGGACCCCGCCGTCTTCATCGGTGTCGATGACTTGAACCTTTACTATGGGAATGCGGGAACGGCTGCTTTGAAATACAAAACCTTCCGCAGAAAAACTTACTTGCCCAAAGCATGTAATTTTCATGTAAATTTCCGCAGTAAATGTCTTAACTACAGGATGAAGCATGCCAGGAGAATGTTTACGCGATGTGGCCTTGGGGCAGCGCTGTTGGCTGCGAGATGGGTTTGACCTTGGGAAGCTAACAAGGAGAAGTTCCACACCTGCGGTGGTCCCAGGCGCTGCCCCTGCCTTGGCCAAGGCCGGGGTCGGCGGATATATATCAAACTGCTTGAAGATTGAGGCCGCAATGACACTTTTGAATTTGCCAATTGAATGGCTGAGATCACCCAACATGAGCCCAACATCGGTTGAGATGGTATGGCGGTCAGTGACCTTGAGTGCGATCACCTGGGAAAGGAGAAAGAAAAGTCCATTGAAGAAAAGTTCAATGACTTCACAACAGTGCTTCCATGGTGCCTCAGCATGGTGAAGAATCCGTCGAATGGCATGAATCCCTTTCGATGTTGAATTGCTGCAATCCCCACAACGTGCCATGAATATGACTCAAGATGACATTGATTCTGGATTTGGCTGGGATATGCTGGGATTCACCACGAATTCACTGTCAATTTTGGGAATGGCTAAGAGTGCACTATGACGCACGGGTGACAGCAGGTTTGGCTTTGCGGCTGACATTCAGCAGCTACATGCCGAGCGGCGAGCAGCGGCAAAGGACGGATCGTTAGAAGGCAGGTTAAGATGGAGAACATGAAGCCGCGTGCTTGCAGATCCGAATAGAGATAGATAGAAATAGAATAGGACGTGACGTCAGCAGTATTTACATGTATTTACATGTACTTACATGTATTTACATGTATTCACTTCCTGCACAAGAAGTGAGCAGCACTTCTTCACGTGAAGATGTTTTTTGCATCATGGCTGGTGCACCTGGGAAGATGCTAGATCAGCTGGATCAGCCCTGTGATGCAAATTCCATGGTTGGTGTCAGGTCGAATTATGCAGATGTGAAGCCTCAAGACTCAATGACTACCGTGACTAGCAATTACATCATTGACTTCTGCATAACATGTGATATTTGATCATATTTGACTATAGTCTATAGTGAATTGTGAATTCGTTTGTTTCTGTCACCTGCCACATGTATCCAAGTGGCTCAAACAAAAAACCATGAAGTGGTCCAGTTGTGTCCAGTGTACCCGGTTATATCACCTTCATTCCTTGGATTGGTTTCACGGGCACTTTACATTGTTTACGGTTTACTGCAATGGATGCAAAAGTCATGGCTTTGTGATCTTCCATGAATTTCACCATGTATATCATTTTGTGACATTTTGTTACCCTTAACGGCCTTAACGTTCCCTGAAAATCATCACTCATTGGCTCTCATTGGCTGCCTTCAGACCCCTCAGATCGCAGGATGCGGCCCCAATTCTTCCGGAGAAGCTCCGAAAGGCTGAGCCACAGCAGCTGTGCGACGCCCTGCGGCATGCCTATGAGAAGAATCCAGAAGAAATGCCAGAGGCACAGAAGAGAATCAAGGGGAAACTATGGGAAAGTGAGGTCAAAATTCTTGAAGGTACGGAAGACTGAAGTCAAAATTCGAGAAGACTTGATAATCATAGTCAATCATAGTTCACCAAGACTTGACTTGAGATCACTGATGATTGCTGACGTGAACATGATAGCATTCAATGGATGTTCAATTGCAGATATGCTGAGGAGCATCTTGCTGTTGACATTTGTTGACTGGAGTTCTTGAATGCTGATTCTACTCCAAGGGTACATGCCCGAGAAGCTTGCTTTACCACTTATTTGAGGCTCCGGTTTTGGGGCCTTGGGCCCACCTAGTCTTTGAGAAAAAGCGCCCCCAATGCCTTAATCAAAAACCCACCAAGACATGAGGTATGAATCGCAATGGCTTGGACGTGAAACTACTAAGCATATCGCGAAAAACTACTAAAGCACGAGTTGTGAATAAAAATGGCTTGGACGCAAGACTACTGAGTGGTTCATGAAAAACTACTAAGGCGCGAGTTGCTAATCACAATGGCTCGGACGCAAAACTACTGAGCATGTACCTCAAAATTGAAGAAAAGAAGAAGATACAATTTCTTTTATTCTTTCGGAGCATTTTCTTAGTAGTTTTGCAGCCGAGCCAATACGAACTGAGAAATTGTCATTAGTAGCTTTTGAACGCATTCTCAGTAGCTTTGCAGCCAAGCCAATACGAAATGCGACACCGTGCTTAGTAGCTTTTGAGCACACTCTTAGTAGTTTTGCGGCCGAGCCAATATGAATAGCGAATTTAACGCTGCTTCCGCGTGATGTATGTGGATATGCGCACGCAAACATGGCCCCGCTTCCCAGGAATCAACGTTGCCACTCACAAAAGCCAGTCTTGCTGCCTTTCCTGATGTAGCTGCTTTGCAGAGTGCGAAAGCAACTTTGATGTCCTGGGGTGCCGGGGGTTGCGCCCAGGGTCCTGTATACTGCCGCTGGCTGTACACATGTCTTTGCATTGCTTGTGGCAGTCAAAGTTCAACCTCGCATGATTGCTGCAGAACAGCACGGGCATCCCTGCACCTTTTCCTGCACCTTTTGAAACGGTCCTTTGGCTTGCGCTGCGACGCAGGCCCATTTTTGGGGCTGTGGGCCTGCATGCTTTTTGCCTTCCTTCACTGCGTACCCTGCATGTATATTACTACAACTGTAGAGTTGGAAGGATCGCTGAGCGGTGATGAAGCAACAGCTTTGCCACATCATAACACAACATGTTGATGCATTTTGAAACATAACCATACATAGCCTTCGTTTGCCTGGATGGTTTGGGCCAGAAATCGGTCACCTGTCAGGTCGTAGAGGCTGTCCTGCAATACGCAGAAGCTAAGAAGACCAAGTCCGAGCCAATGAAGGCAACAAAACCAGTGGTTTTGCTGTTTTGCTGTGCATTTTTGGAATTGTTTGGCCTATCATTTTGAGAAACCACAAAGCCAAATATATAAAGACGTGTGTGTGTGTTCATTGGGCTTTGATCGGCGATTCTTCTGGTGAAAATTGCAGCACACGAACGAACACTGAACTAGATTGATTCTTTTGAGTCGAGATAATAGCACTTACTGTTACTTATATCATCCTGTATCTATATATTCATATTATATATTCTATATCCAACTCTTGGACGGTGGGATGTTTGTTGATGCTGAGTCTTGCTCCGTAATCCCACAGGTGATTGATGACCTTTGTGGCCGCTGGGAAGCTGCACCTTGGTGCCGGATTTGGAGTTGGATGCAGCGATCATGAAAGGTTCAGGCGCAGAATGTCGAAACCGGAGATGATGTTGGATAGACTTGGACAAATAAGGATCAATCATAAATCGCACTGTCTTCAGGAGTGTGCGAATCCCTGCTTTGGCAGCTTGAGGTTTGGAGTGGCGCTTTCACCCCGCTCAATCGTTTGGGGGTGCCAAGACAATCACTGTGGGTTGAGGCGAGGGTTTGTGGAAGGCCCAGAGTCAATGGTCATGATGAACATATTGTTCATTGTATCAGTTTGGATATGTGTGGATGTACATATATCATAGATGTATTTCTGTACTTGGTCAGGGTGTCCATGTCGTGCCTTTAGGTGACCGCTGGAAAAGATGGGGAGCCTCCTGTGGCAACGGCGCATAGTCAGAATCCAAGGAGCTTTTTGCTAGACACGTAGACACAGGAAGCTTGTAGAGGAACTGAACCATTGGACGCTACAGACCTTCTAGACGGGATTTAACTTGACCAGTTCATCCTTCCGGGAGTCAGCATTGTTGGGGTAAGCGAGAATCCCCGGTCTGCAAATGTGCTGGTGCCCTTTGATGCTGGACCTTTGAGGCGGGTTGCCCCTGGTATTATTTGGTGCTTATTTGTGGACCTCCTGTGCTGGAGATTTGCTGGATGTGGAAAGCTCTGGGGGAAACCAGGCATGACTGTCGGCTGTGCGGTCTAATGTTGAGGCTGTGATCTAGCAACAAGAAACACAGGACATCAAAAGAACCCAACAGGAACTAAGAAGGCGAGGATCTAGTTTCAGCCATGATGAGTCATGATGCAAGGAACAAGTTTGATGAAGATCCATTCTGCTCGCAGGAACACATTCAGCTGTCAAGGGGTATACAGTATCCACGAAGCAACTTTAGGATACTTTAGGTCGGATCCTGTTGTAAGCTGTTTGCTGCATGGTTTGATTTTTTACATGCAGTTGACACTTCAGGTGCTTATCAAATTCACAAGATACTGGATAGACATTGGTCCAGAGCCAAGATCAGCTCCCCGACTGGAGAATTGTTGTGAGTTGCTCCTGAATTGCGTTTCTGAAGGTTTTATGGATGCCTTCTAGCTCCATTACTTGAATGCCATTTGTCAATGTTGTGTTTGGACGCTTACTGTTCGAGAATGCCTACTGTTCTTCTCGTGCAATGATCCTCCTAGTCCCTCTGGAAACAGAAAACCACCATGCCCTGGCTTCATCCGCGGCACAGCATCCCTGGGTAAAAATTTGCAAGCTGGAGATAACTTAACTACCTCACATCTACCTCAAGTCTACCTCACTTAATTACTCCAACTGTAATTTAATGTTCAGAATGTTTCAGATGCCCATTTCGTTGTATTTTTTCATTTCCTTTTTGTTGTGGACTTTTCTGGAGCCGTTTTTGGAGCTTTTTAGGACATTGGTCGCGTGGATGGTGGCTTCATCAATAGCCGCCTTGCAGCTTTCGGTGCCGCCTTGGTGACGCCGGTGCTGTTGGAATTTGGCGCCTTGAAGTGGCTGCTGGAACGTCACCCGGTGAAACCATGGGAAATTCCATCCATCCATCCATCCATCCATCATCATTAAAATCATCCATTATCCATCAACTGTATGTTAACATCCATCCTCCAAATCTATCCAAATCTAGAAAAATGTTCGATCCTTATTCTAGAGATTTCTACAGTTGGCTATGGTAAATCCTCCTAATTGATGACCATCCTGCAACCTGGGCGATGCACCCAAGTTTTCACCATGGCACATAAGGCTACATAATGCTACATATTAATATGCTATATCTGGCGTAATGTGTAAGATTGATTTGTTCAGGCTCAAGTGTTAAGTGACTAGTGCTTCTTCCTGACACTTGGAAGGTTTACAAGTGACTACCTCTGTAGTCATTCTATGTCATTCTCAGCAATTGCCACACCAAAAGTGTGATCAGATCCCCTGGAAATCTCAGCAGATCAGGCTTTGGCTTCGAACGCGTCTTCGAAGTGGAGGTTCCAAGTCCTGAAGCTCCCGAGAAGAAGGTGAAGTTACAGGCATCCCTGGAACCTTGCATAGTATGAAGGGATCGTATGAAAGGCAGCGGTGTAATTACATAGTATAGTTTAATCTATAGTTTTCAAATGTTTTCTAACAACGATTCTATGATTTCTATGTATCGTAACAAGTCTATGGTATTTTCGCCATTTTTACCCTGCCCTGCACATCCTGCAGGCAATGCAAACTTTCCAGAAGCATGTGCATCGCATTATCATCCTGTTCAATTCATTCTGAAAGTTTCAACTCATCATCTTGATTCATCTTGGGTCCCATTTCCGGTTCGAAAGTTTATGGTACTTCCATGCCAACATAAGGGAATAGTCGGATATAGTCGGGGAGTCGCTGCTTGAAAACACTGACGTCGACCTTGAGAGATTTTTGCAGAGGCTCAATCGTCAATTCTGCTTGGAGTGTTTTGCCACGCAATCATGTTTGTAGAAAAACAACTGCATCGACTGGTAATGAGTTAACATACCTTCTCCCACAAGGCCACAAGGGACAGGGACTGACAGACGATTCGCTGTTTGAAGGTCTGTTGTTTCGCCGAGGAGCTTTACCTGACCTTGCTGGCCCGTGTGGCATTTCCTGATAGCCTGTCCACCTGTCCCATTCCCTTTCTGGATGTGAAGGAAGGCCTCTGCGTGTACGAGGTGCTGATGTCAGGGATGGGCCTTGACCAAATCCTTCAAGATTCCTTCAAGTGCTCATCTCATGGCATTTTGTTCAGAAACATCAAGAAATCATCAAGAATCATCAAGACCTATTTGGTGCCCCCTGAGCCCTAAGCTTCACCTTTCTGATTGACCAGATTCCAATGCTGGGTCCTTTGGGCGATTTGCCACTTCACCCGGGTGGCAACAGCGCTACGCTGGTGGCGCGAAAGCTCTCGGATGATGAGCCTGTGCTGTTGATGCGCTGATGCGCTGAGGAGGCTTGCTGAGTACATTGCTCAGAGATTTATTCGTTCAAAATCGAGTCTACTATACCTTGGGATGGGTTACACACATGTTGAAATCGAAGAACCGCGGAAGCATAATTTTTGTTTACTTTTTCAGGGTTAGCTTTTGGGACAATTTTGGTCTTGTGACTTAATTAGAGAGACTGCACAAGGCAGCAAGGAGAGACCCTTAATGCCGCGAAAGTGAAAGTGAAAGTTACATACGTAGTTTTACTACATCAACAAGCGCACAATTTTGAGGTAAATCTCAAAGTAGACTTCACTTTGCAATACTTCGCAGATCTACCAACTCAAAGGAAACCACATTGCAGGAGGAGAGCGGCCAACGACTGCCGTAGATGACCTTTTTGCCGGGAGCAAAAAATGTGTCTGCGCGACTCTGTGAGGTCGATGCACAGTAAAGGCCAATCGGCATCAATTGGCCAATCCAGTTCTTTCCTTATCAACACATGGGGGGCATGTCAGTGGGAAGATTGAAGCCATGATAAGCCATGATTTCTTGTTGAAAAATGTTGAAACCACCTATGCCTGCTGAGTCCTCGAGGCGCCATGAAGGCAATCGCGCAGTCCGAGACGAGGCCGGTATCCACGAGCGCCAGCCTTGGATGCCAAGGAGATCCAAGGAGAAACTGAGGATGGGTCCTGTATCAGCATCAGAAGAGACTGGTACGATAGCCTCGGCCTGTGCTGATGTGTTTCACAATGTTTCACACCCCAATCTTTCCACTGGTCTGCTTGTTCTGGCAATTCTGGCAGATGTGTCCCATGTTTTTAGCATGAATCAAGGTCAAAGTGTGCTGCTGTACAGCACTACTTGAAGAAGGCGCAAAGCGGGAAAGATGGGGAAGGCAAGAGTGACCGAAATTGGCTTTGTGGCGTGTGTATTTTGCATATAGTTGATGTCCTGATCTGGTATGGTTGATCTCTACAGGCCAATTTCTGTGAGAACCTAGGAGAACCTGAAAGGAGCAAGCCATGCTATGTTCACCCAGGTTGTATTATTTTGCGGCCTGGCGTTTCTTCCTGGTTGATGTTCAAGTTAGCTGCAGCCAGACGTTCAATGCCCACATCGACATGCACGATGCTGCAGCCTTGCTGAACTTTCGGGGTCCCAGGATTGGCAAACTTTGCGAACTGCAGAACTGTGCAGGGAGAGTTTGATTGACAGTGGCAGCCGAAAGCTTTTTCATATCGACAGAAACTGCATAGGATGATGCGTTTATATTAGTTGATGTACACGTTCAGGAAGAGGTTGAGACATGTCGAATGGTCAAGCCGCTTCGAAAGTTCCTATTCAGAACCAGGACCCCCGAGCAAGGGGATAAGCTGTTGCAGATTCTGGAGAATGTGGAACGTGGCGTCCTTGGGCTGTGAAACTGCAGGAGGACTGCAGAGCTCCGCTCGAACACTAGAACTTGAAACATTGTATCCTTAAATTTGTTTGTCAGGGGAATGGTTCTTCACGGACAGCTGGACTCGGAGACAATCATGGTGCATTCCAACCAACAGTCGTAGAACTATTTTCTAACACAACTTCGTTGTGGCTAAGAGCAGGCTTCCTAGTGTCTTGCTCTGCATGTTTCGATGATAGTCCTGAGTGCTTTGATTGAATTTTTGAGGCTCCTTCTTCGGCAACTACATCAGGCGGCTTGTCAGCATGAGTAGCAAACCAGCAGCAAATCAGATGTGTGAAATTGCAGCAGAGCAACAACAGGCAGCAAACGACTTGTCCAGATCGTCAAAAACATGTTTGGTGTGATGATCCTTTGCCACTGTAGCGGAGGCCCTCAGAAAAGGGCGACTTCTTCAACGACTTCGTAGCCGGTCGAGAGGCGGGGGGTCAGTGTCCGGGTATCCTTGACCTTGGGAGTTGCCAGCATCTAAATGCTGAGAGTGCCAAGATTTCCACGTGACCCACAGGTGGCATTGGAACGTGCCATCATCTCGATGCGCTTGCGCTTTAGAGTGCTGGACTGAGAATGGGCCAGGGCAATGGAACACGCATACAGTCAACAAAGCTTGCAAAACTTGCGGTTGCTTCCGAACTACAACAGAAGTTATACTTGAATCATCTTGGTTCTAATGTGTTCCAGTTTTCATGCCGCGATGTCAGGACTGCCCTACCAGATACACCCCCAACATCCCCCAACAAAAAAGTGGAAGACACCTCCAATCTGTTTCGGCCACAGGCTTTGCACCAGGAGCTGGCACAGGTGATCACCAACGCCACTCAGCTGCGTTGGTGCCCCATGGTGCCCCCATCCCCATGGCCCCCATCCCGTTTCGCGCCGCAGCGCCGCAGAGGTGCCTGACAACTCTCCGCGGCAGCACCGCTCCAGAACCCCGCCACGGTAATCAAAAGCTGCCACGGTAATGGTGTGGAAGTCTGACGGTGTGGTAATCCTTCACCAACATCACCCTGTTATATCCTGTTATATCCTGTTATCATATTTATCATGGGGGCATGAAGCCCCTGGTTCTAGTCGCACGGTCAGCACAGCATTCTAAGCCTATTACAACAGAAGTCACCATTTTATGATAGAGCCATTTATTTCCAAACTGAATGTAACGTTTGTAGCGTAGTTGCGTGCCTCGGCGAGCTGGCCCACTTGGAAGCAAGATATTGGAAGAAACAGTTAGATAATGTTAGATAATGTTAGATAGGGAGGATATGACAACCAAGAATTTTCACAATAAGCCACTATTGCTAGCTTGCCCAACTTCGATTCCTGCTGTTGACTGCAGAGTTTTTTCAAGACCGTATGGCCGTATGGATACACCGATGTGTGCAAAGATCAAGTTTTGCATGTCTTCTAATTATTTGAGAAGTACAATATTCAATCAGTCAGTATAGTGTAGTTTACATTGGTCGTGCAGTTTGATAGAATCGACTGTCAGTAGATGTCATTAAACAATGAGTGACTGCTAGAATTTCAACCAGATCTGGGTGTGGAGCCGAATAATCCTGTCTTTGCCCAAGATAAATGAGCATAGTCATTTTTTTGGGATTCTTAAGGGGGGGTCCAAGGGGGGGTAGCCAAGGAGCTTTGGGGAACTGATGCTACAATGGCAACCTGCTCCTTTAAGTTTTCAATTCTGCTTCCTAGAAGTTCTTCCTCTCAGATGCTCGACGAATCCCACATCTTAAGCTGAGCAAACACTTTCCTTTTGGTCATTTACAATTTACCAACACATGTGTGCTGTCTTCCATGTTGGAAAGACAGAAGGAGTGAAACAGACGGCGAAACACCCTAGCAAAACTACTTCAGCCGCAGCAATGCCAATCGAGTCTTGTACTTGGCAACACGCAACACAGGTAGCAATCTGATCATGGGTCGGCCTAAGCTGGGACCACTAGCTGGCAAAGACATGCCAGAACCACAACACATAAAGAAAAAAATGGTTTAGTGCCCCCCAAAAAGTGGGACCTGGCTCAGTTGAGGCACGCTTTTTAGTGCACATCAAACATGACTCATGCAGTGTAATTTTCAGAGAGTTTCTTTATTGCATTGGTATCTTCAGGGAAAATTATGACGATCTCACAACGACCTCGCCATAGGGGAACCACTTTCCCAGGCCCATGAAACGATGTTGTGGTCAGATTGGTCGGTTTGGGTCACGGAGCTGACCAAAAAGCCCATATTTTCTGGGTAAAATCGGCCATGATTTGGCCTGGATGGGATGGCATTGAAGGGGCTGACATGGGAACCATGGGAGCATATTTGCAGGATCAATTTGTGGCTCGGACCAGCTGAGCACCAAAACTGAATCTCCTTAGAAAAAACTTTTATTTGACTTTCATCAATGCCATTTGTTCAACTTCTCTTTGCATTGTGGAAATCGGTGTTTTCCTTTCGTTGGTCTTGGTGCCTACTCACCTACAATTTTCCAAAGCTCAAGGATACCGGGATAACCCAACTGTGGCCCCAACCAGGATGGTTCCCCCAATTCAACCCATCAACAAAGTAGGGTGATTGGTTTTACAGCTTCCAATGTTTGACTGTAGCGCACGTCCGATTGCCGGAGCTGCAAAGCTTTGTGCCACGAAATGACTGGCCAACTGAGTGGCAGCGATGACTTGGAGGTGCAAATTCAGATGCGGCCTTGGGACAGCGACGAGAGCCAAAAGAGTGCAGAAAATGAAGCTGCAGAAGATGAAGTCGTTCGGACAGAAACCGACCACCAGATCCGCCAGTTGATGCCCAAGGTGGTCAAAAGCATTGCGAAGATGGGTGTAACTCACCCTGAAGTCTTGAGAACCGCACGGGCACATCAGGCTTTCCAGCACTTTGCAGCAGCACTGCGTGTTGGATCTGATGGAGACTTTTACTACAAGAGTCGCAAGAGTCATAAGATCTCGACCTTTTGGAGCCACTCTTGGCATGGAGGACATTGGAAAAAAATCCTTACACTGATCCTTGGATTTGCCAGGTGATTGTGTATTTTCCCTAATGGATCTAATGGGACGTCCATCCACTACTTGGAAATCAGGAGGGGACATTTTGACTTTTGGAGGTCATCAAGCACATCAAAGGATCCCCTTCTACAACGGCACTGCTGCTGTGTCATTGGGTTTGCTCACAGGCGGGCATGTATCGAAATTGGGGTACCAATGTACCGACAAATCTGGTTATTTCATGTTTTTGGTACTAATTATGACATGTTACTAAGGCATCTATCATAATACGTATCATTCTGTATCCTAAGGGGTGAATCATTTTTAAGCCACAGCCAGGTGTCCTCATGATGGTGCTTTTCTGTTTCGGACAGCTTCCTGGCTTTTCCCGTGGCTGGCATGACATCAGATGGTCCACCTGGTCACTTTGTTCAGGGGTTCTGGTCACCTGTTTGGTGCCCATGTTTTGGCGACCGCAGACACAAGTGTTCTTCGACCGAATTTGCATCAGCCAGGCGGACAGTGAATTGAAAACTCAGGCTGCCTGGTGCTTTCAAAAGTCTTTTTTGTACGTGTTCCTTATTTTTTTTGCCTTTTAGATGATAATACTGCAGATAATTAATCAAATATAGGTATGTTTTGTGGTCGATCCTTATATATCGAGATCTGCGAAGATGCTCCCAATTCCCGTGTTTCTTGGGCTGGGCTGAACCATCCATTTGCAGGCCATTTTTAGCTTGGCAGGGCTGTTGAAAAGTTCTGACCAAATGCTGATCCTCTGGGACCCAACATGGACACAGCGACTCTTTGACTTGCTTGAGGTGAGTTGTTGAATTTCTGCGGAAATTCCACCATTTGTGGAATCTACATTGACCCTCACTTGACACGCACATGGGAGGCGAAGTACCAAATTTTGAGGTAGGAACAAAACTTCTTTATGGTTTTACTTGGAGATTGTCGAGCTCAGCTCATTCATCATATGTCAGAAACCTTGAACAAAGGAGTTTTGGACTGTTTATTTATCATCGGTGCGGTCAGATATGTTTTGCACGGCACCTTCAGCAAATCCAAGGATTGTGGTGTTTGTTCGAACTGGCCGCCTTTTTGCAAAGCCGGAAGACACGGAAACAAGCCTTGATTGTCAGGCCCATGGTGTTTGACAGTGGTTGTTTTATGCCTTTAACCCTCTTACCAACACACCTGGACTTGGACCATCCACCATTTATAGTTTATAGATTAATATAAATTATCTCATTGAAGACGCGGAGTTTCCATGCCAGGTTTGATTACCAGAGGAAACGTCTTTTTTCA